TGTGTGTGTGTGTGTGTGTGTGTGTGTGTGTGTGTGTGTGTGTGTGTTTTAAGAGTGTGAGGTGGAAGATTAAAGATTTATGATTATGTACGCAGAAGTCAGGAAATGCCACAGTCAAGGTGATAAACTGAACTTTAATTCTGCTCCGTAGGGTACATGTAGCCTTTGGTTACATTACATGATGTCATACTATTTCTCAAGAAATCCAGCATAGTACCATGATATTTTACAGCCATAGATACACATTTATATCTTGCAGTGCTGTATACTATTTTGTGTATGCAAGACAAAGTCCATGAAAGTCAATTACATGAAAATTTCTCAATGAATGTTGCTTACATGTTATACCACAACTTAAACATAACAAAACTGAGTAATACTGTAAATGTACTAGCATGCATAGGTCCCCAGTTAACTTCCTAGTTGACTAGCTCAGTCCCGAAACTGACCCTATAAGAAAAGCTGTGCTGTTGGTTGAAAGGAAAATATATATAACACATGAAGTTATAACCAGATTATTAACATATGTACTTTATAGAGAAAAGAACTGATCATATAAAAGGGCTGTCAATAAAGATATATTTGATCATTATGACATAAAATTAGTGTAAGTATTAAAAAATGGAAAAAATGTTACAGGATTCTACACCTGTGTATTTAAGGTTGTAGAAAATGTTATGATGATATATTGGATTATCTGAGCAATAGGATATGTTCCAGTAATTAAGGACTGCATCATAATACATACTCAAAGGGTGAAAAGGTAGGGTTTCATTTTCTTTGCACCCTCTGAGTATATACTTCCTGAATTTTAGGGTGCATAACATATCCATTGTATGTAATTTCCTAAATTTTAAAATGTGAATACATTTACCGTTTGACTTTTTTCCCTCTCATAGATACTTACTTCAAACAAGGATTGTGCCCTCCTTAATCCATCTTTTCTTACAGTCTGACCGTTGAGTATATTCTTAAGGCTGAATTTGAGATATCAGTTTCCAAGGTAACAGACTATGGTGTCATCAGCACAGGATTATGATTTCACTGCAGGATAAGGCATAAAGAGAAGATGGGTTTTAAGGGAGAACATTGTTTCTTAAGCTTCAGTGTTTTGCTATGGAAAATTACTTGACAAAGTTAAATTATGTTATTTCCCCCTTTTTTTTTTTCATAGTATTCAGACTGTGAAAGTCCTTTTTTAAGGATTTCAGTGTTACCAGTCTGTACCATGCAGTAGCTTGCTCTCATGCAAGCACAGGATTCTACATTCATCCTAATGTATATGTTACGATTTGTAGGTGGACAGACTGATGGGATAGTTTTGTGGAATGATCTGCTCAATGAAATTGAGAGGGATCCCACAGCTCTAGACTGGAACACTTTTGTAATTACGTGCTCTAGGGAACCAGGTGCTTCTGCACCTGAACCAGTGTCTTTCTCTGTGACAGAGTAACTAGGGGGGATTTGAAACAATGCTATGTTCCCTTTATAGTTTTCTTCCTCAAGTAAATAGTTTTCTGTATAAAAGTTCCCCAGTGGAAATGTATTTTATGTTTGCATCAGATACCATCTACTTTCAGGAGCAGGAGCATGGAAATTTCCATAAACTTTTCTCTTGTGTTCCTCCTTTTTCTGTGTCTCCTCTTCCCTGTCTCTTCTTTCACATTCTCCTTTTCTGTAGTTTTCCTGTGGAACCCCTTTATTCTTCTACTTCCACAGCCCTTATATACGCCTCATATCCGTTATTTTTATCTTTCTCGTTCCTTTTTTCTTCCCTCTCTCCCTTAGCACGCGCGCTCTCTCTCTCTCTCTGTCACTCAAACTGTAAGACTGCCCAGCTTCAACAACTTGAATTAACTGATAGATGCTAGGAGGGAATGAGGTCTTTCTAAAAGACCCACTGTCTGCAGTGCAGGAGGGAGGGAGATAGTGTTTAAATGAATCAATAATGTTTTAAAATGCTGTCAGAAAATCCAGAGCAAGATAGCAATTTTATAGCCAGTGTTATTTTGTTAATCCTATTTATTGTGTGTTTTAAATTTGACTCGCTTCCTGTCTCAGGTTATCGGCCTTCTTCATTTGTTTTCGGTATGGCTTCTGATTTCTCTCATAAACAATGCTGAGGGCACACTCATATTTGAGTGTGGTCAGATGGTTTCAGGATCCACTGTTAATCACTGTGATTATATGGAAAATTTTAGGTTTTAGGCAGTAGAATAGCAATCTCCATAAACCGTAAATTGTTCCACTTCAGCATCAAAGTTGTGCAGTTA